GATTCTTTCATTGTTTTACAAACCCTCCCCCAGGTCCCCTCCACCAATGCCATATTTTCTACTCTACTCTAAGTGCTCTATTGCATGTAGTTTTCTGAGGCCTGTTATGTCAGAAGTGGATGGCCATTCTTTCACCCTAGCCTGTCTTAATTTGGATGCTCAACTATAGAGCAGTATTTGACAGACAAGTATTTTGTCTAAAACAGTAGATGAGAGACCTTTCCCATTATTCAGATACCGGATCAGGTGTTGGTCTCACCCGCCACCCCCTTATGTGTATGTATGTCTTATCTTATGCGTATATGTATGTATGTATGTATGCATATGTCTTATTCCAACTCCCACCCCTGCTCTGTAAGCATACAGCTCAGTTTTATCTCCTTGCCTGTCCAGCATCTCCTATCCCCAGCCTCTAGCCAATCTTGGTTTGATGATTCAAGCCTCCACTGCCTCTGTCCACTCACTTCCTCTCCACTCTTCTGTAATGTTGGTATTCTTGAGCCACATGAGTGGGCTATCCTCATCAGTGATGGCTTGGTGGGACATCCTCTCTCAGGAAAAGTGTGGGTCAAGGATTCCTCTTATCTCCATACCTTTCCAATCCATATTCAGAACAGATCATATGGGAAGCTGGACTTTATGAGGAGGAATATGGTATCAGAATTGGAGGAAGACTCATAAACAACCTGCATTATGCAGATTACACAATCTTGCTTGCTGAGGAGGACATGAGGCATATGCTGCAGAAGGTCAAAAATTGTAGCCTTCAATATGGATTGACTCTCAACAGTAAGAAAACGAAGGTTCTCACTACTGAGTCTATTGGCAGCTTCATGATAGAAGAGATTGAGACTGTTAATAATTTCAGCTTGCTTGGTTCTACCATCAACAATTTTGGCACCAGCAGTCAGGAAATTAAAAGACTAATTGCACTCGATAAGTCTGAGTCAGGGACCTCTCTAGCGTCCCTCCCTAGAGCAACAATGTCATTCTGTAGTCTAAATTGCTTCTGATACAGGCCATGGACTTTGCAATTTTTTGCTGTGCATAAGAAAGTGGAAAATTACAAAAGATGATAGAAGAAAAATCGATGCCTTTGAGTGTGCTGGAGAAGAATGCTAGGAGAACAAACAGGTCAGTCCTCGAGACAACAAAACCAAGCTGCTCTCTGGATGCAAGGATTTTCAAGCTCTGTCTCAAATAATTTGGGCATGTGACCAGGAGGGACATGTCCTTGAAGAAGAACATCATGTTTGGGAGCACTGGGGTCAACACAGGAGAGGAAGACCCTGTAATTGATGGATTGACTCAGTGACTGAAAATGTGGGACTGGGTCTATCAGAGATGATGAGTTATTGGCTCAGATAGGGTGGTGTTCAGAGGTGTTGTACACAGGGTTTCTATGAATTGAAGGTGACTCATTGGCACATGACAACAACAACAGCAGCAGTCTTTCTTGCCTATTTGAATCTGGAAGTTCCACTGAAATATGTCCATCATGGAAGACCCTGTTGGTGTTTGAAATACTAGTAGTATAGCTTGTAGCATAATAGTAATGTATAAGCCACCTCAGTAGGACAAAAGAGATGCTTTTCTACAATGTGCAGTGCTAACTATGACATGCACAGACCTGGTTATATAATAAAGAAGATGATGATCGTTTCTTGAGGCACTTACTGAGACATTCAAGTTAAGCACTTGAAGAAAATGCCTCTTGTAAGATGCTGCCAAGAAATTATTACTCTTAACAACGTTTTGAAATCATGGTCTACATGGGACATTCTTTGCAATCTCCCTCATGGGCAAGCCTACAGAGCAGTCACCGTATAAATTTATCTCATTGCGGGGGAGACTTCTGCTCTTTTAGGAATCCTGTACTTTCCAAAGCATGGTGTCTAAGGACTGATACCTTCAAACGACATCTCCAAATTATGAGGTGAAGTTTCACCGTGTATCTATGCCTTTCAGGATAGCATTAGTGGCACTTCCTACAAGACAAACATGGCCACAAGTGGTCCTCTAGATCTACCAAATACTCTCTTTCTCTCTCTCTCTCTCTCTCTCTCTCTCTCTCTCTCTCTCTCTCTCTCACACACACACACACACACACACACACATAGCCAGACTGCTCCTTAGTGAAAAAGATGATGAATCTTACACACACATACTTTGATCATGTTTCTAGGAGAGGTGGGATAGGTTATTCCTTGGAGAAGGACATGCTTGGGAAGGTAGAAAAACTACAAAGGAGAGGAAGACCCTTAACCATGTGGTTTGACACAATGACTGCAGTAATGTGCCTGAGGGTGTCAAAGATTGTAACAATGACACAGAATAGAATAGCATTCAAATCTGTTGTTCATAGAGTCACTATGTGTCATACTCAACTTTATGGCACCTAACAACAAAAGTGTTTAATGTTTATGTGTGGATAGACAGATAGATAGATAGATAGATAGATAGATAGATAGATAGATAGATAGATAGATAGATAGGTCTTTGGTGGCATAGTGGTAAGAAGCTACTCTTCAATCCAGAAGGCATGTGGTTTAAATCTAACAGATGCTCTAAAGGAGAAGGTTGGACAATCTCCTTCTGTGTGATTAACTGCCTCTAAAAACTTGCTGTAGGATCAGCTGTGGGTCACTTCTGACTTGATAACACATGACAACAACAACAACAACAACAATTATTCCTTAAGTAATAAACTGAGTTTTCTTTTTGTACTTCTACTAATTAAATATGCATTTTCTTCTTAGCATTTCTAGGTCTAAAGAAGCTTCATGATGTAGATGAAAGACTTGGTTGCTAACTAGTTAACACTGACATTTGTTAACTGCCAATGGTATGAACATTCCATTGTTCTGCTGGACAAAGATGTGACAATCTTTTCCCTATAAATATTTGCAACCTTGTAGTTATACTCTATCCATGTCATCATGACTTTGCCAGGTAGTTTCACCATTAATTGAAAATTGACTTAAGAGTAATGAGTTTAGGTGGTTTTGGTTTATTCCTGAGTCTGATGCAAGCCCAGTCAGTTTCACATTTGATTCTTAGATAAATATTGGAATATAATTATCAGATGGAACAGTATTAGTTATACAACTATTAGCATTTGTGGCCTCTTTGACAGACTTATGATGTCACCTCTAAGGAAAGTTGTTTGAATCCACCAGCTGATCAATGGAAGAAAGAGAAATAATCTCCTCCTGTGTTATGTACAGCCTTGGGAAATGTTGGTCATGGAATTCTCCTGAGTGTGGGTGTGGAAATAAAAGATTGTTTTTAATTTTTAAATCCGAGAGACACTTTCTTCCAGATAGAAAATGTTTACTACAAAATTACTCAATGTGTCAACATAATTTTGATACTAACTAGTGGACTGAGAACCAAAGGCATGGAATATGTTGTGAATGTGTCATTTTGGGGTTTTTTGTGTCAAATTTTAAATGTTTATGTGGACTTTTTTTTCAGCTTGAAAACACAAATAATTTTGCTATTAAATCACTGACCCATTTTGAATTATTTTAATAGCTATCAGATAGTATTTATTTAGATGCAAGCAATGCATACAACTTTTAAAATTAAGTATTGAGGATCTAACAAATGAAATACGAATTATTTGTGTAATATTAATCAAAGTGTATTGAAGTGGACAAAATATGCTCATAAATTCTATTGTTTAACTAAAGAAAAATTAAACAAAATAATACAGATGAATGTTTATAATTCGTGACCTAGAGAACTTTCTATATTAAATCAATTTTTTAGAAGAATCTTTCACGACTTAGGTGTTCATACCTAGTTCTCTTCCAACTGTTCCTTATAGTAGTGTCTCAATCTTTTTTGCCATAGGTCCTTGCTTTTTACCTTTTATTATCACACCTGAGAAATTTATATTCTGATTGGCTATTTCACATTGGATCATCCTTGACACAAAGAACAATAACAAATGATTCTCTAAATTAGGACATGAGACCCTCCTTAGGTAGTGGAGGATCCAATTAGCTGTCCATTTCCACTTTGAAAAACTTAAGAACATAATTTGCCACTCTTTAAATCATAGCCCTACATGTCCTCAATTTATTCTATTAAATGCTAGAAAGAGTGTATTTGCTCAATTATAGGATTATAATCCTAAAGACAACATTAAGAGACCATGCATTAAAACCACAGTTCTACTCAGAACTGCGTGTAAATCTTCCCAAATCTATCTTAATTATTAAGAAGTTAAGTATTTTCTCCCCACATTTTTCAATGTTTGCTTTTCTAGAAGGATGCTGAAAAAATTGTGCCTCAAATTTCTGGCATCAAAAGAAATAAAAGTTCAGATACTACTGTCTGTTG